CTGTCTTATGTTCTACTGTCAGAATATAGTGGAAGTTTCAGCAAACGTTATTTTTATTTTAAACTGCCCACTGGACCTTTAACGTGTAAGCATCACTTTAATGCTGCAACTGGTAAAGGTGTGACTTATTTGAACTACTCTATATACTGCTGGGTCTGTCATTTCATAAAACTGAAATACTCAAGTAAAGTACAAGTATCTCCAAATTGTGCTTAACTATGTACTTAGTTACTTTCTACCACTGGTTACTACAACACACCATGTGCAGGATTGGCTAAAATATAACTTGTAAATTACAGCTGCAATAATTTGTCAATTAATCGAAAGTTATCAACTATTAAATCAATTAGTCGTTTTGAGTTATTTTTTAAAGAAAAAGTGTCCAAATTCTGTGATTCCAGCTTCTAAAATGTGAATATTTTCTTTAGTCCTCTATGACATTAAACTAAATATCTTTGGGTTGTGGACAAATCGAGACATCTGAGGACATTGCCCTGGGCTTTGGGAAACACTGATCAACATTTTTCATAATTTTCTAACATTTTATGGACCAAACAATTAATCAATCAGTTGAGAAAATGATCAACAGATTAATCAATAATGAAAATAATGGTTAGTTGCAGTCCTACTGTAAATGGTGATGTACATACTGCAGGTCTTACTAGATATCGTTATGTTTGAACATGTCTCTGTGTAGTCAGACCACATCAGTGACAACACAACTTCAAGTATCTGGTCTAAAATATACAGAGTATAAAGGAAAGAGAATGCACCTCTTCCTCATCCCCTGGAAAGGAGCTCCCTTCACTGGCGGTGTCAGGTAAACTAGGTTTAGTGCTGGAGGGGATCTAGAAAGGTAAACAAAACTGGTGTTAGTCAGTCTGTTAAATAAAAAAAGTTAAAAAACTGAAATTCAAAAGCATCATGTAAAAAATAACTGTTTTTGTGTTACAGATAAAACCAACGTCAGCAATTAGTCTTTGAGGCCATCCACTGGAGATTAGAAATGACAAAAATCCACCCTCTGGTGACCTCCAACAGTGACCTACCTCTCTGTTTGTGAGGGCATGTTCCCCAGCTAACAGCAGCATGCTAAGGCCTCCCATCTTTGTAGGATCTGAAGAAGAATTAGAGGAAGTTACAAAAATGATCCTACAGTTTGTCACGTTGTCACTAAACTGACATCTTTTATTATACACACCTGCCATGGCAAAGTTTAACTGTGGCATGCTGTCCGTTTTGGGCACTTTTTTGGCAGTGGTGGAGTCCTTGGTGGAGTTGGAAGAGAAGGACCAAACTTTTTTGCGGGGGTTGCTGACAGGCTGACAGGAAGGGCTCTTAACTGGTTTGCTGGTGGTAGGACACCACTTGTAGCCTGGGTTTGCCTTCATAAACGCATCCTTGTACTGGAAGAACATCCAGAATCAATTTGGTTACAAGATAAACTTTAAAATCCTCACATCTAAATGAAAGTATTTCTCTATAACATCAAACACTGATGACAAAATTGGACAGAATCAAAATTAAACTTTAGGAAAAAAACATTTATGAACAGTCAGATATTCAGCTAATCTGCTTCACTGGGACTGTGTGGGTGTGGTTTGATCAGATTTGATTGACAGTGGCCTGGCAACATAAACAAACAACACACCAGCTGTCATTTAACTGTGTATGAAATCACTCCCTCATTCACTCCTGCCCATATAGACATTTAGTAGTGTCCATTATATGGGGAGTTTAGATCAGATGTGATGAACTGTATTGTGGAAATGTCAGCAAAAAGTAGTGTGTTCATGTCATGAACACTCTTTTTCCATTTTTTCATTCCATATCTTTGCGGCACTACATAGAGCAAAAACTTCAGATCATCTTCTGATTCAGAACAGACAGTTAACAAATATGGCAGACAGTCAACAACAAGATAATATACAAACAAACATTCAAGTAAACAATAGCAGCACTTACAAATTAAAATGACAATCAAATTTTGCTGAATTGTGGTTGGCATGGGGGAATTGTGACATTGCTTTTTTACAACTTAGATCTAACTCTCTGTTTAGACACAACAAACAAATACATGGAATCATAGTCTGCCCTAAACGCTCAATATGCAAGCTGCTCAGGGCCCTGTAAATCATGCACGGGCCCCACGGGTGTCAGTGTTTATAACTTTAATGAAAGGATGAAGCCGGACAATCCATCATGAAAAGAGAAAAAAAACACCTTGATAGTGAATTGTGGGAACAGAAATCAGGTAAACTTATCTCCAAGACTGATGTCAGTATTAAACAGTAATGTAAAGTTGAGATGCAGTTTGCAGTGCATTCTTTCTACTCTGCTGGGCAGTGTGGCTCTTGGTCTGACTGTGTTGGGCAGTGCTGTTCTGTGCCAGACATCATCATATCTCAGAATCAGATCATTGATATCATACTGTACATAATTTATATTGTTTATAACAAATAATCAGTGTGTTGTCTTGCCAAATTCACCTGCGTTACGGAAAGAAAATAGAACAGACACTGAAACTATTGCAGCAGGTCGCAAGCTGGCCACAGAGCTCCGCGTCGCAGCACGCTCTAATTGAACAGCCCAATTGGTTACAACAGGCGGGTTTATGTCTTAGCCCTCCAGCCGTTTTTCGGCCTGCACGACCCCCTGCTTGACCTTTGGTCTTCTGATATGACATGATATTAAGATGTAATAGCTCCATAATTCAAAAGCAATGCTTTACTACACCAGTAAAAACTCTTTTTAGACAATCCAGGAGGCACCAGCTCTTAAGTGAATTTAGTCACTTTGATGCAACTGTTATACAAGTAAATAAATAATATCAGTACAGGTGCAAGAGAGAAGTCTCACCTCCTTGGCCATATCTGTGTATTTCTGCTTCTCTTTGGGCTCCAACACAGCCCACCAGTCGGCCAAGATCTTGGTGGCCCCACGGTTGTCCAGGCGAGGGTGTTCCTGTCGCACCAGGGAACGGTGGCGTTTGCAGAAGAGGAGGAAGGCATTCATAGGCCGCCTTGCCCGCTGTTCATTCGAGTCCTCCTCTACTTCCTCTGTTGTGCTTCCACACTGCACCTGCGAGCCCTGCTCCTGGCCACACAGCACTGGCTGCTGATAACACATCCATAAATGTCAGATGCTATGTTTTCCATCCCATTTATGTGATAAACTGTTTAGTTCATGGACAGAGATGATTAAAGCCCTGTCAAGCCATCAAACACACTCACTTTCTCCAGCTCCTCTTCATCCTCTTCTTCTTCCTCCTCAGAAAAATCGAGAGCCTTTTTGGAGAGAAGTGGGTGCCACTGCAGGCATTTACGTTTGGGGCGCTTGCCAGTGACCTCCCCTGCAACAGGTGGCTCCTTACCCCTTCCTCCACCCTTCATGGTACTACCGCACCTAAAACAAAAAACATCAGACTGGGCATAACATAAGACTATGTCTATACACAACATGCACAGTGAAAACATGCACTTGTTGTGTTATCTAATGGAAGCACAGATACCTGCCACCAAAACAGCTAGTGTTGTAGGTTTGTGATTGCAAGTGTCATAGTAACTACTGGTAAGCAGGTTTGCAAAATGTATAATAATATAATAATAATAATAATAATAATATAATATATAATGGTATGGGATTTGATAAAATATTAGTAATCACATTTTCATTCATACATGTTGTAACTAAAGGCCTCATTTTTGAACTCTTTCTACTGTGGGTTGGACCCATGGATGTACTGAAGGTGAAGTAGATACAGCACTGGAGACAGTGCTCTGTTCATTTCTGTGGAAGCTGCTCAGTAGTGCAAGAAGTAATGTTTGAATTCCTAGTATAAAACTACCCAGAATGTCCACATTGTGTAGATCAAGAGCAATAGAGACTTCTGCTGGCCAAGCTGCTAACTTTCACTTTAGCCCTCCGCTAACTTGAATGATTTTATCGTGCACCTCTTCTAGGTTTTTTAAAATGTTGTCGACTGAATCAAATCACTGGATCAAATTGTGATAGTGAAATGGGTCATTTCACAGGGATTGTGACGCTGTCTTTTTCACAATTCGAGCTTATTTAAAAAAGTATCTTTGGCCAGTGTGTATCACGTAACATGATCATTAAATGGTTTGACCACTATGTTAAATTGGCTTTAAAGCCTGGCGTTTTCCTGGGGGCTTGGTTGGACCTGATTGTGTCTTCCGTCTTTTCATTTCTCCACATAGTTTCATAGTTGTTACCTGCCTACTGTAAGAAAGATGCCCTTAGTCTTATGAACATATATGTAAAGTATCTCATATTCCAAAATCTGTACTATTTAACTTGCCTGATGGTGGTACACAAATAGCCAGTCAAAGCTGAAAACATTCAAAAATAAAATTCTGCTGTGGTTTGAGTATTTACTCCTTTAGTATAACAGAAAACAACTCTTATGACAGGAAACTAGATTAAAGTTGCATTATGTACATAAGTATGTTTATAGTATAAATCTTTTGATTTTTTAAATTAGTTACTGTTTTATAATAATGTGCATCTTATTTAACACTGTTATAGCAGAAATTTAATTTTAAATCAAATTAAAACTACTTACTAACTTACTAAAGCTTCACAATAAGGTAAAAACAGACAGACAGATTTGCGATTAGTGGGAATGATCATTTTTGTATTACAAATGTAATTTTCACTGAAATTTGTTGGGGTCTGTGGCAAACAAACACGTTTACTTACATCTGGAGAACAAGATTTGTAGACCAGTGTATCTCTTCAGAACTACAATATTTCATCATTATGCTGTTACATATATACCTTTACATATTTTACCTTTATCAAAAAATGTCAGCTTCTTTTGATTTGGATATTGCACTTGGCCAAGTTGCGATTTCGATAATATTGCAATTAATTGTGCAGTCCTAATACATACACAAATATTTGCCGTTGAAATTAAATAAAAAGTAAAAAGAAAACATGGGAAATACTAGCACCCACTTTTAGAACATGGTAAATGTGAACAATCAACTGACAGTGATATAAAACTGTCGGAGGAAACAGGGAGACACAAACTGATCCTGCTGGAACTCTCCTGAAGGCCATATTTTCAAAGCATGTTGATAAATAAATAAATAAATAAATGAATAAATAAAACTGACAGCATTATCAAAAATAATTAGCAAAATGAGTTTAACTTGTGTAAGTCACTGGCTTCCCGCTGTAGTAAAATAAATGATAAATACTCTCTTCTCAGAGGGCTAGATTTCATGCTAAAAGTCTCTTTAAACCGCTGAACTGCAGCTACTGTCTATATTTGGTTTAATTTAACATGAGCAAGGGAGAAAGTGAAGAAGCCACATTATCCCCCCACTGACCATCATTTCATTAGCCTTAATTCACTATGCTAATTTTCTCCCTTAACTTGCCTTGGAGGAATCCCCCCTACTGTGGGACCCATGAGTAACATGAAACAGGGCTGCAAAGGATGGTCATTTATAGCTGCTGGACTTAGTAGTGACTTAGATATTGAGTTAGGTACCACCCACTATCATATCATGGTCTACAAGGTCACAGAACAGCACTAAAATACCAATCAGTATTAAGTTACATTAAACAGTTAGTAAATGAGTCTACTATTGAAATAATCGCCAACTACTTTGAAAATTATATACAATTATTTGAAACAATTCATCATTTTGAGAAATTCTCTCAGTCAAGCTTCTCGTATGTGAATATATTCAATTTTCTTTAATCCTCTGTAACAGTGAACTCAATATTTGCATATGAGGACGTCACCTTGGGCTTTGGTAAACACGGACATATTATGGACCAAACAACTAAGCACAATAATTGATAATGAAAATAATCGTTTGTTGCAGCCTTAGTCCAGAATGTCTCACTGCGATTGCAAAGAAATCATTACAATCGAGAACAATTCTAATCATTTTCATCTATGGCTTATTTTCCTACACACACAGCTACAAGAGGAACGGATGCAGTCACCAGGATCTGGGACATTTTTGACACTTTATTGGAGGACCAGTCTGGAATATTTCCAAGTAAAATGCTTAAAGAATGTGAATTCACACTGAGCCCATACGACATAGAGCTGCAGGCAACAGACGCTCAATGCAGTTTGGGTAAATCTCCAACATTTCAACAATACACGTAAACAATACCACCCTCTAATATCACAGACAGAACAGAATAACTTCATTTATCTTTTTCTCTATGGCAGATAGACCATGTAACATATTCATAATATTTCTTGTGCTAAGTTTGGAGTGGACATCTTAAATGATGTTGGGGTCAAATCAAAAATCTATAAAAATATATGTAAGCAGAAGGATCATGGGAATTCATGACACAAGCTAGTGTCCCCAAAGTTAAGACAAACGTATATAAACATTAAGATTTATTTGTACTGGCACACTAGATTCAACATTTTAAATCCTTATCACTGCATCTTAATCTGACTCACACCACAAATTTAATTTTCACTTAAATAGATTGTTGGGGGTCTTTACCAAACAAACTCATTTTCTTAAATATGGAGAACAATATTTGTAGACCTGAGCATCTCTGCAGAACTACAGTACTTTATTATAATGCTGTTTGTCACATTTTACCTATATCAAACGAACTGCAGCTTCTGCCATTGACATGTTGTGATTTTGATAATATTTCTATTAATTGTGCAGCCCTGGTGTTTACAATAGTAGATCAGTTAGATTTGGTTAGAGCACAGCTATAGAATATTAAATCATCCATCTTTAATCACTACACCTCCACCTTTCTTACCCTCAGGTGTGTGAAAACTACAGGTTATGAACTTTTTCAAATACAAAAATGAGAAATGATCTTATCAGTATCTGCCAGGAAGATCAGGTATTCACGTTTTGATTATATTGCAATTAATTGTGCAGCCCTACTTAATGAAACACAAAGGTGCATTTGTTGGGATGTTACCTCATCAATCGATGGAAAAGATTTGTTGTTTCCTAACGAATATTCTATCAGTTCAAAAAAATAAAAATGTGTCCCCTAACTGGACTGTTAGATATTCAGTACAACTGTGATGTGTATGTTTAATCACTGTCATAAAGTAGGAGTAGACTCCTGAACTGTCCTCTATTTTGAGCTTGTGGTTTTCATACACCACCACTGAGCAGCTAACAGTGAAATCATCAAACATGAAACATCATCAGTTTGCATCATAACCAACAGGTGAAGTGTCACAGCACTGGAACTTTCACATCTAACAAATAGGTTTGATTATGTGGGACTGTTCACAAAAACAAGTGGACCAAGTGTGCCGGGGACATTGCATTTTTTCTGTTGCATTGTGAGAATTGTTAAGTATACATTTTATGCTAAGAATTTGGACTCTCAAATAAAATGGTGGATGGTGAAAGTAGTGCACTAGGTAGCAAGTAGGGAGTGTGACAGCCCACAACTTTATCTTTACATTGTTCCGTAAGTAAGAAAATAGTTAGTTCCTTCCATGTCGCATCGCTTGAAATGAAAAGTACACAACCTCCATTACAGTCGTGAGTGACCCTACAATAGGGAAGAAAACATTCCACGACTGATGATTTCAAACTGACCAAAAAAATAACAGTTTTGACCAATGGGCAACAAGCTCCTCTCTGATATTGGTCACTACAAGAGCTGCACAAGATCACTAACAGACTTTATTAGAGCTGTCCTTGGCAAGTTTTCATTGCAAAAAACGATAACTGCAACAAAGTCACAACAGAAAGTTAGCCACAGACCTCAAAAACTGCTGCAGGCCATCAGCTCAATGGTTACATAAAGTGATTTATAAGTGAAATACTTCCTTGACTTGATCCTGTGCCATATTTCAGAGGCAATGTTTCATGTGTCGCTACATCTCTAAAAATGATGATAATGTTATTTCTTACACCAGTTAACTTCTGGTCAATGACATAATAGTAAATTAAAATAATTCCCTTTTTTTTTGGGGGGGGGGGCTCGGTGTAGAAGGTGCCAATGAGTATAAGGTCCTTTGATTTGATTCACTCATATCATGATAGGTATGGTGTAAGCATGGGACGATTTTAAATTATCTAATTTATTATCTTGGCTGAAATAATTACAATACACATTATTGTGGAAAATATACTTAAAATGTCCCGAAAAAAAAAATATCACTTCACCTTACATTTTGAAAGAAGAAACACATATTTATGGCATCACAGATAGACACCTCATCTCCCTATTCTTTACTTTGGAGTCTATAGTATTTCCACACACAGTTTAGTTTTTTTTGTGGGGGATACAACGGGCAAGCCAAGCCTTCAGCCATGGTGACAGGCTTTTTCAAGTTCAGCCATGTGAGGATATTCACTATTAGTATGTGTTTTTTATTGCAATAGGCAATAATATCGCATTAGTCTCAGCTGATACACATAAAACACAGTGATGTAAACCTGGCACTACGCAATTTGATTTTCCATCAAACCCAAAATGTACCTGCATTTGGCACTTTGCAGGGGGTCATTTTGCCCTCAGGTGTGCACAAATTACAGGTTATGAAATTTGAAACACAAAAATGAAAGAAATAATTAATAATGGGAAGCAGGTAATTATTGGTTATCATATCAGCTGAAAAAAATCCCTATCAGGCATCCCTAAAAAAGATGCACCCTATGGTAGACATGTTCAATTACTATTAGCTGCAGTACATTTTAATGTTCTACACTCAACATTCAGAATGAAGCATTTGTATGTTTTCCTTTTTATTTCTTCAACTTTGCACGTGTTCTAAACATGACACAAATGAACTTAGCAATCAATGAATGAATGATTTAATGTGCCAGTGTTTGCATTTATGGATGTCGAGTGGAAAAAACGGGATACTTACTGAAGAAAAAACTATGGAAATGCTGTATGAGTGATGAAGATGAATCTGCCACAGCCTTTGTCATGCAATGACGGTGACCTATAAAATACAAGACACCGCTCTCAGTCATGCATTACACTGTCATCTCTGCAACAATTTTCCAACGGCGTGAGCTCGGGAAACAAATGTTCGCAAAGCAACTTTAATAGAACATTTAAGTGAGTGATACTGCATAGCACAAGACCCCATCGGCTTCAAAGTACGGTGGGACATTTTGTCTGATCTGATTACCGATCACTTCAATCGCATAGTCGATCCGCCCTTGTGGACAAAACCAAAACATGTAGGCCAAAACCCTGAGACCACTGGATGCATTTCATACAGCATTATACAACCTAAATGAAGTAGGCACAGTTGCAGTGAGCATTTTGCTGCGCAGAGGTTTAGTTGTGCTCTCAGGTAAAACTGCTGATGCCCGATCGGTCTGTCTGTCTGTCTCGGGAGTGAAGTCTTGAGCTACTGTACCGAGCTTCTCACAAACAATAACAGCATAAAAATGTCCGAGCTGTGCGAATAAAGCACCAGTTTGCCTACCTAACGTGCTCCTGCCTCTGAGCACACATTTTCATCTCCGTGCAAAATGTCGATCTGAGCTCTGACAAGACAGACAAGCCGAATGAGAGTCCATCTTGCTTCGGTTTGGAGGAGAAAACCCAAGTGCAGTACAGTATTGGGGGGATATTTCACTCCTGTCAAACTCTCCGATGACAATGTCGTCTCCCACTCCGAGGGGGAAAACATCCACACTGGTTAATTAAACTGGGGATTTTCTGTCCAGGCACATGCATCTGTGGCCAGTGTTTTGCTGGGCAGTAGCTCCATTTTCTAGCAGCGTTACTAGGAATAAAAGTAGCTAGTTAGCTTGCTAGCTGCTAACTGGACGTGTCACGGTTTTAACGTGCGATGGTTTCCAAAGCTTCTCGAAGAGTTGCTAACAAAACTCACACACTATACTGCCATTAGAAAGACTTGTTCGTGCTGTTGCTACTGTTCGCGTACATACAACGCAGGTTTGTGGCTGTGTGTTTGATGCGGATAGGAAGAGGAGGAAGGGGGGGGGTCATACCACCTCACTGAGGAACAGTTGCTTTCCATGTATTTAACACGGCCAATTCAAACAGGAGGGAAGAAATATAGAAGCGACACACCAACAGTGACAACAATATGCGGTCTGTAGCGCCGGTTATCAATGAAATGTCGATGGGAAACAAACAAATTGAAAAGGGGAAAGCCAGCAGGCGGACATCATGTCCACAGCAGCGATAATAACAATTTTTCAGAGTGACTGACTGAGAGGTTGAGAAAATAGCGACCGGGTTTCAACGGAACATCGATAAAAGCACAAGTTCTCTGTCATGAACGCCTCCTTGGTGTCTAAACATACCTCTAATATCCCGCTCAGGTACCGGGGGGGGGCTCTCATCATTGGTGCCGTCCACCTTTTTAACTTATTGACACATCATAACAGTTCAGCACTGGCTGTACTCGGCACAGTGGCGGCAAGTCCGTCTGAATTAGACGCGCGGAAACCGGAAGTAGAGCGAATTTTCACCAAAATAAAATCTCGAAGCTCCAAGTCTATCAAATGAGTGTAACTGGAGGTAGCAGCAGGTATTCCTCCAAGTCTGGCAAACATTGGTAGTTTATTATATATCAGTGTCATTGTGCTATAATATGGTGGTTATTATACATTAGCTACAGTAGGTCATTTTAATTAAAATAGTTTGTCATATTTTCTGAAACTTTCATTATAGTGAGACAGTAGTACGCAAGACAAGTAATCTGTGAATAAATCAGCTTCCTCTCATTCCCAGGGCAAATACAGGTACATTGGGACCCTGGGAATGAGACTGAACAATCAACTATCGTCAAACTGCCAGCCCAAAGCATCTTCATATCTTTCTCGGCTCTGATTGGTTGTTTTCGTCCATGCCCGGTAGATTTTTTCAATTGTCATTAGGAGCACTAGGATTAGCCAGAGGAACCCGATTATTTCACATATTATCTGTCTCATGTACTACTGTCAGGACACAACATTTCAGCAATCATGACAAAAAGTTTTTCAAATGCTTTAAATTTTTACCCACAGGCCATCACACAGTGTCAGGAACAACCACCTCAAACATCCACTGTAACTGTAAATTAGTTTAATATCTATCTATAAATATCATCATCAAATATCACATCTATGCATGCTGTGCATCTATGCACATTGTATATACTGTCATAGCCACCTACCTCATGTACATAAACAATTCTGCACAAAAATATATATTCTAGCATCCTTAACACTGTACTACTGTCTTGCTTTCAACATATGTTATTGCTGCTTTTTATATATGTACACATATCTATAAATAGTAGTTTTGTTGAGCTTGTTGTCCTGTTTGAGCAACTTAAACCAGAGTCAAATTCCTTGAATGTGTACACATACCTGGCCAATAAAAGTGATTCTGATTCATTAGAATAGTGGTTCTCAACCTTTTTTGTGTCAAGGACCCCCACATTGGGGGCCAGAGATCCCTGTCTGATAAGAGTAAGTTATGCCATAACTGTGTCCTGTAGATTGGCAGATGAACAGTGTCAGTCATTCTTATACATTCTCTCGTTGGGCTAACTTCTGGTCAATGAAATAAGAGTGAAATTAAAATATTATCCATTTTTCTGAGAGACACCCTCAAGGACCCCTTTGGGTCCTAGTCTCCAGGTTGAGAACCACTGAATTAATTCACATTAGACATTAAAGATATATGACTAACAACAACATAAAAAATACCAATAAATAGGATTGTAAAAAAACAAAAACAAAATAAGATAAAATAGAATAAGATATTAATGTTGTCAACAGTTTATACCAACTATGGCCAGAATATAATGGTATAATTATGGTCAGATTAACATTTGAGGAACCCTAGACAAAAAGTTGCATTTGACCCACGACCACTTCATTGCATGCCCAGAGACCAGTACTAAGATAAGATGTTCCTTTATTGATCCTCCATGGGAGAAATTCAAGTTTGACACAGCCGCACAGGGGAAATGTAGTGCAAATAGTAGAGAAGAGACAATACAATAAACGACGGTACTACTAATACTTGGCTCGCCTTGTACTGATATTGATATTGTACTTACCTATTGTACTTATGATATTTGATATTTGATTTGATATCAGCCTATATTGGCCTATCATGACCGATCAGTATATGCGCCAATATAAAAACTGTGTGGTCACAACAAATTGGTGGTATGCGGATGTTCACAGAGAGCCTACGCATACACCCTCTGAGGACGAAATTTATGTCACATGGACTGTAGCTAACTCTGGCGGACCTTTGCGTCCTCACAGACAGTGGACAATGTATATATTAAATTATTTAACATATTTGATAGGGATGTACAATATGAATTATTTTTAGCCAAAAAATACCTGCTTCTCATGGCCAATACCAATAAGATAACCGATAATTTCACATTTTTATATTTGAAAAAGTGTATAACCTGTAGTTTTTACACATCTGAGGGTAAGAAAGGGTAAGATGTGATGAGTAAAGATAGATGATTTAAAATGTTTGTTCATTTTTTCAACTAAAGTTCATCCAAAAAACTTCACAAACATACTCTTTCTCAGAACACAAAATAAATTATAATTATTGTTATGGACCGATCATTTATCAGATGTAATTTAATTATCAGAATAATTAATAATAATTAAAGTTTTCTCGTTATCGCCGAAAATGTATCAGTCCTGATAATTATTGTGCATCCTAATAATTAACTTAAATATTCATTAATGAAGTTATTTGTTGAAGAAAGTATAAAGAGCCCACTACCATATGCATAAAATCCGAGTGAAGAAAGTTTACAACACTGCTATCTAGTGTTTGGGGGTTTAAATACCAAAATCAATACAGTGTTTTTGAGAATCGATACAATATCACAAAACAAAACATTGGGATACAATGTTTTTCGATATATCATTATTTACTTCCAAACTTAGGTTAAAAAAAATATTTTTGCATTCATGTTTCTGGTCTGCTAGTAGGACTGCAAAGTTTGTGCATGCAATATCTGCATTAATTCCAGAGGACGCTTTTATTTTCATAACGTAAACCGGAAGTCATCTTCGTCACTCCGTCTAACGTGACAGTGGTACAGAAACGCAGCACTTCGCTAGATGATGAATGTTACTGTCGGCGAAGGCGACACATTCAACGACCTCAGGCCACCGAAATAACACCGTAACGCGTTGATTCCGACAGAAACACACACTTGTTCAGTCATATAATGTAATAAAAATCACTTTCGTTTTCCTCGCGGTGGGAGAAAATTCTCATCTCAGCTATATCCCTCCCCTCCCCCGGTTTGCAAAGTGTTCATACCCAGAATGGCCTGTACTTGCTAACAACATCCCTGACTTAACTTTATCTTTCAGCGCTGTCCGACTGCCAAAGGTCACCCAAAAGGTGCGGGCTACAGCAAAAAACCCCGATAACGACCCACTAAACGCTGGGTACAATCTATCTCAGTTGACTGACTACTTGTTATAAGCTTCCTGGGTGTTTGTGCGCGTGATAACTGATACAAATGATCAGATAAATGTCGTTCAACAGTACATACCTTTCTGGAGCAATGTAGCAAGCGAGTAGCTAGCTGCTTAACCCTTCTTTAAAAGCTTTAGCCGTGAAATTATCAACAGTTTTGCAGCATACTGTACACACTGAAAACATCCACCCCCGTCATGTAATGCCGTATGTGAGTGGACAGTCCGCTTGATGGACAGCTTGGCTTCGCCAATCAGAAGCGACGTTACATTCTAGTGTTTTGAGATTAGTGTAACGTCCTCATATTTAATGTTGGGGACACGTGTGGTAAAATTAGGCCGAAACAATACGAAATTACGAATATTTAAACTTAGAATGTGTAGTAGTATTAGTAGTAGAACTACATTGACCTTGAGGTATTTCATGTATTTTTAATCCCTTTAAAAACACTACTAGGCTATAGCCTGTCCAATCTTTAGATGGTTTTCTTCAGAAGAGACAGTAAGGGGGAGCTGTTAACAGCCCTTGCGACTGTAGTCTGGTGGTTGATCACTTATTCAGGAAGAGGCGATTTGCTGAATACCTGAAATAAATTATTTGATCACAATGATGATATACACTCAACATTCACCTTCTCCACAGGTAGCAGAACTTAATTAAATACAGAATCTGCAGTCTGCCACTGCTGAAATCCTTAAAAATATGAGATGATTGTAAAATACATCAAATAAAATATACATTAAGAGCATGGACTGATCTAACCATAATAGTAATCAACTAATAATCAAAACAAGGTTACAACATGCTCTGTGTATTTCAGAACAATACAAATTCAAAGACAAACATTAAGACGTATATACAGATAGTCTTCGTGGAACAATAATGTGTGTCTTGACAAAAAAACAGTATCATGTCACATTAAAATCCTTAAAAAGTCTAAAACTAAAATCTACTCCTACCTCATTTAAAATTCCAGAATCTAATGTTCATTTTAAAGTGTTCCTGCTGGACACAAGAAGTCTCCTACTTCACTGT